TTACATGAACATTGGCACATTACAAAATATCAAACTGTAGCTAACTTGTATTTGTTAACATGCTTGCTGTGGCCTTCAACTCGACATTTAGATATATCGACGACGTATTGTCAATTAACAATGGTTATTTCCGTTCTTATGTCAATACGATATATCCCGGTGAGCTTGAGAGAAAAGATACCACAGAGTCTGACACATCTGTTTCATATTTGGATATTTTACTTGAAAAAGACTTTAATGGTAATCTAACAACCAAGCTTTATGATAAACGTGATGACTTTAACTTTTCAATCGTCAACTTCCCTTACTTATGCAGCAATATACCTTCATCACCTGCATACGGGGTTTATATCTCTCAGTTGATTCGATACGCAAGAGCATGCTCTACATATGTACAACTTCAAAAAGGAGGTAAATTATTGACAAACAAGTTGAAACAAGAATATCAGCAGTCTCGTTTAAAGTCATCATTTCGTAAGTTCTTTGGTCGATACAATGACCTTGTCAGCAAATACAATTTATCATTGAGTCAAATACTGACTGACGTTTTTCAAACTAGTTGTTAGGCCATTATTTACACACTGAATTGTTGGCGGATTTTTCTGTTATTTCCTGATCATGACAAGGAACACACGACAGGTGTGACTGGTCGGCAGGGGATGCTCACTCCTCCATGGCTCCTGATCCCACCTCTGATGTTTTGGAGGTCCATGTTTGCTCTGCTCCTATTTTGTATTGTTTAATGGACTTTTGAGCTTGAATACTGTTCATTAATCTCCATATATTTCATGCAAACATCCTCAGTGGCTAGTGTAAATTCATATTTTCAAATCATGGCCCATTTGGGGGGAGTGGGGGGGGGGGGGGGGGGTAGGTGGGCCACAAATTGAAAAAAAATGTTGTATATGTGAATATATAGGGAAAGAGCTTTAAGTCTTATTCTGAGGAACAGCATGGCCATGATTAGTCTTACTGATATGCTAGCATCCTCAGGTCATGTAAAGTTTGTTCAGATATTAGCCCCCTGGGGTAGGGTGGGGCTACAATTGGGATCAGTTTTATAAGGCAATATGTAGGAATAAATCTTTTCGTGAGTTGAGGCCACATTTAAAATCATATTAATATGCAAATAATTCTGATGTTGTCTGAATTTATTATTTTTTGGAACTATGGACCCTGGGGTTCAGATGGGGACCAAAAATTGAAGGTAAATTTTTCAAAATAAATGTGTACGGTGAAAATCTGTAATAAATCTTATCTTACAGAACAGCAAGACTGTGTTAGTCATATCAATATAAAAACACTCCCATGTTGTTTTGAATTCAAGTTGGATTACATGTATATCATAGGCCCTTGAGGCTAGATGTGGGATTAACACTTTTCATGGGAAAACAGAGTGAAAAAAATCAGGGGCCCGTTTTACAAAAGAACTTACGACTAAGACCAAAATTTAATTCAGCTTATAACTTTCTAATTTACATGAAATAAAAATGGTTTTATTATTTTTAAAAGGAATATAATAAGATATTTTTACTCTAGGAATTTTAAACAGAATCATTCATTTTGCAAAATTTTACAAGCAAGGAAAGTTTTTGGTCTTAGTTGTAAGTTCTTTTGTGAAATGGGCACCTGAAGAACAGCATGGCCAAGGAATGTGACTCAGGTGAGCACTGTAGCCCGTAGGCCTCTTGTTTTAGTCATTCTTTTAAAAAGTATTATTTTTTTTAGAGAACAAATTAATTTTGATACGGCATCTTTTAAAAAAAATCTTCTTCTCATGAACTATTGTGCCAGAAAAGATAATGATAAATAAATAAAACATTTGTAGAGTGCCCTGTATAATAAAAATTACCCTTAGGCGCTTAACAATAAGGTTATACTAATATAAATGTACAAGTTGGTTATTAAAGCTTTTTAAAAAGAAAACCGCATAAAATGAAAAACATAAAAAGAAATCAAAGCAGGATAAAAATAGTAAAATCAAATATTTCTTTTACAGAAAATATTCACAATTCTCTCTCTCTCTCTCTCTATCTCTCTCTCTCTCTCTCTCTTCTTAAAAAATGGTACATAAATAATTCAATTGTACAGAAAAGCATATATACAAACATAAGTTAGAAATGAATCAAAATCACAATGAATTGCCTGCTTCTATGTGTACATTGTAACCCCTGTTTTCCCCTATAAACAAGGATTTCTTGGATTCTTTGATATCACATAGATACAATTAGTTATCATTTACCACATGTGCTTTCTTTAGAATTACATTTTGTAGACGAAGAATTTTTAATCTTATATCGAAGAATTTCCATAAACATGTTCTCTTTTTCGAATCTGCATTTCATTTTATATTTACAGATCGTAAAACAAATAAATGACAATAAATGACAATAAATTTATGCGTTTGGTCATTTTTTTTTAATTCACCCATAACACTCTGTTCACTACAAATTATTCTATGTACAACTTTCTGCAAACAATTATAGCTAAAACATGAGTA